TCGTTTTCAAATTTGAGGTCTGTCTCGGACTTTACTTTCAAATGGGACATGGTGAAATTGGGTAAAAATTGCTGTATGTGAGTAATTGATGTGAAGAAGAGAGCACGAAGATTAGATGTCATTGTAAAGACAGTGAATTCACTTTAGCAGCGGAATATCAGGGGTTATAGTCTATGGTGGGTTTTGATTTACTTGGATGCGTTTCTTTGAGGTTTATTGTGCGACCAGAGTCAATAGATAACTAGTACATGTAACTTCTCTTTAACTTCTGAAATAGCTTATAAAGTGCTCCTATCATCATTTTTTTAATAAAAAACCTCTAGTATAATGCCCATGGTGGGTCGCCATTAGGCCTGGTAGTTGCACGTAGAATTCTGCCTCCCTTTCCATTAAACTTTTACTTTAAAATGTCGGAATACTCAGGTGATGTTTATTTCTCAAGCTTTCTATAGCAGTAACGACAATTGGTGGTTAGCATATATCTTGATTCTTGTCTTTCTAATTTAAGGAAACATGTATGTACAGTAGTTACCCCCCTCTTCTAACGCCATTCCTAAACAGGTGACTCCTTACTCATTTATATAATTGGTCGTCATTTCTATGATAATACATGAAGACCACTGGCAAGGACGAATTCTTCACCTTCCAGTGGTGCCGGTGTAATCGCTCAGTATGCTCTGCATATCTGGGATAGCCAAGAAGAATCGCATCCGAATCGAAGTCGAAAGCAACCTCAAACACATCTCCATTTGACGACTTCTTGGCAATGCCTCTCTTACTTTACTCTTCTGGGTCCTGAACCCATCTCTAACCACGAATTATCTCGCTTCAACGACCAATAAAGAAGTTGCTCCAATTGCATACAGGAGCTTGCCCCATTAATCTCCAGCCATCTCTCACTACATATTTACGACGCCATTAATACCCGCAAGGAGGAAATTAAGTCGAAAAATACAAAGCCTGGGTCATAGCTTATGGGGGACTGTTTTTTTTTATTTAATCATTTAATGTGTATTCAGCTACTAGCTATGATACATGACCGGTGCTATGTATACATGTTAGATGACTCTTTTGACGTTAGAGATACTCATACTCTGGATTTCATTCGCAAATACCACTATGAGGTATGTTCGCTTACATAAACAGTCGACCCTCCTCCGTAAGTACCCACCCAAGGGAATTTCGGAACCTTTGATTATCCAAGCATGCCTTCGTCATCCATGCATACCAGCGCCGCGAGAAATGTGGTTGTGTTTTGCCGGATTCGAACCAGCGATCTACTGTCTCGAGCGGGATATGTGTCCAAGCTATCCAGACTCTACTTGGCAGACCGGCCAAGATGATGTACCACCGCACCATCCAACCATGGCAGTTTTTATAGTGTCGACTGCACTCTCGCAGCCGAAGACTTGGCACGCACAAATCTCAATTTGTAATAACTTCTTGTCAAATTTCGAAATTTCACGCCCGTCGAGACTGTATCCAATCCTCTGCATCATCTTATCAACTTGTCCTAATCCCTCTTACGTCAATCCCAAGAAACAATCTCGAAGATTTGTGCGCCATGCTTTGCTTCCTCCGTCGGGTATAAATATCGGCCTGGGCGTGTATCTGGCGATCAGCTAAGGCCAGAGAAAGTCGACAAGAGGTGTGGTCATTGGGATTAGGATGTACTAGGTCGTGCTTGTAAACTTGATGAGGTTTAGGTAGGAATCGATTTCGTTGGGAGTGAAAATTTGACGTGGTGGAGTAATTTGAATCATTACCTCGTGGGCCAACTTGTTCGGTATTGCGAAGTTTGACTGAACTTGGCTCTGGGAGAATATTTCACTCCCAGGTTCGTAGAGGACATCGCGTACAGGTGTTAAGTCTTGCCCTCCGAGGTGGCTGGTCATCACTAGGTTTGACAAGCACATGAGACTAGTGGGAATTTCTCCCCTAAGACGTATATATAAGTCCAATGTTCCCTTAGTTATAAATTTTAAATTTTTTTTACTTCATCATATATATCCATGTAATATAATACAGAGTAAATTTTCCAACACCTAAGTTGCACTTGTTACTATGATGTATATACACATTGGATAGAGCCACTGAGATGGACGTATTTATATTTTCCGTCTTCGATTGACCTTGTCAAATTTCCTAGTTTCCCTCGTCCCTCGTCCATAGTTAAAGTTAAAGTTACGAATTCATACCTTTCATTCTTGCCAACCTCATCAGATTTTACTTAAGCCTCTCAGTAACACTCCTAACGCTACCTTTGGCAGCCTCGAGTTTGACACCACACCTCGTTTAGTACTCCTACCATCTTTTATTACTTGAAAGATCATTGATATGTTACCCATGATGAATAGCCGTTGATCTCAGTATTTATTCGGGGAATTCAGCCATCTGTTTCACGGAACCTTTGTTGGAGAATGAATAGAATTTATTTATGTCCCTGCTGGGTCTAAGACTATAAAAGACGGCTAAAACTATTAAATGTGTTAGGGCAAGATCGTCAGTATCAATTGGAAAAAATTGAAAATAAAGAAACTACAAGAATGGATTAATATTTATTAGCATTATGGCGGCTTTTCATAGTGTTTCATAGTTATAGACATTTGGTATAAATGTCCTGACCTCACTTTCCGATATTAGTCATAGACTAGTCATCTTTCACTATGAGTATTAGTGTTGGAATTACTACGGGGTAGTTTCACGATTGATCGTAATGATTCAGTAATTAACTAATTGATTCATTTTATTTTCCAGTCTGAGTCTATGACTGTGTAGGACATGCAGGTCCTCTCTGCCTACAGGCCAAGGATACCTATACCGGTAGTATATCCCCTCCTATGCCTCCCATACAGCTCTCCTCAATCAGTACCACTCCTCAGAAATACTCATTCGATCATACAGTTAGAGAAGCCCTTAGCCCTTCATTACCGTCCCTCTCCAGTCAACGAAACGATGGCCATTTGCGGGTGTATGGCAGCCTGGAAAAATCGCAAAAACCACTGGGTGCGGAGCTCTTCCAATACCGACATTAGGAATAAATACGAAGACATATTGCCCCTTCTGAAGCGTTCGAAGAGGCCGGCCAGCTGGGCGCTGTAGACTTGTGGGTACCTCGGGAAATTCACCCTCTGCTTTTCTAGCCTCCATTCAACTCCTTCCCGAAGGTCGTGCCGAAATGTCAGAAAAGTCTTGACAGAGCGTGCTTGCTGTATAGTAGCTTAGCCCGACTCGTTTTGTACCGTCCAGGGGGCTTGGGAGTGCCGTTGACTCATCGACAAAAGAAGCCCTCCTGGCTAATTAGCCGAAATCTCGGTCTTGGCGCCCACAAAAAATCCAAAGTTGAAAACTCCTCGAAAATATCGGTCCCAGCATGCTCTTCAGAGACGTGTTCCCCCTCTCGCTCCACATCTCAGCCGCCTGTTCTTCCTCAAGTTGATTGTTCCATTAGAGCAACAGTCCCCCATAGGAGGGCAAGACTTAACACCTGTACGCGATGTCCTCTACGAACCTGGGAGTGAAATATTCTCCCAGAGCCAAGTTCAGTCAAACTTCGCAATACCGAACAAGTTGGCCCACGAGGTAATGATTCAAATTACTCCACCACGTCAAATTTTCACTCCCAACGAAATCGATTCCTACCTAAACCTCATCAAGTTTACAAGCACGACCTAGTACATCCTAATCCCAATGACCACACCTCTTGTCGACTTTCTCTGGCCTTAGCTGATCGCCAGATACACGCCCAGGCCGATATTTATACCCGACGGAGGAAGCAAAGCATGGCGCACAAATCTTCGAGATTGTTTCTTGGGATTGACGTAAGAGGGATTAGGACAAGTTGATAAGATGATGCAGAGGATTGGATACAGTCTCGACGGGCGTGAAATTTCGAAATTTGACAAGAAGTTATTACAAATTGAGATTTGTGCGTGCCAAGTCTTCGGCTGCGAGAGTGCAGTCGACACTATAAAAACTGCCATGGTTGGATGGTGCGGTGGTACATCATCTTGGCCGGTCTGCCAAGTAGAGTCTGGATAGCTTGGACACATATCCCGCTCGAGACAGTAGATCGCTGGTTCGAATCCGGCAAAACACAACCACATTTCTCGCGGCGCTGGTATGCATGGATGACGAAGGCATGCTTGGATAATCAAAGGTTCCGAAATTCCCTTGGGTGGGTACTTACGGAGGAGGGTCGACTGTTTATGTAAGCGAACATACCTCATAGTGGTATTTGCGAATGAAATCCAGAGTATGAGTATCTCTAACGTCAAAAGAGTCATCTAACATGTATACATAGCACCGGTCATGTATCATAGCTAGTAGCTGAATACACATTAAATGATTTAAAAAAAAAACCAGCCACCTCTCATCTACCATGATGAGCCAAAGTACACTGTAGTACGTAAACATCCAAACGTATATGCAAAAGTAGGCGCGATTAGCGCACTCGGGACATGTGTAGAGAGAGTCGATTTTGTCGGGAACCCGAGACGAAACAGATAGTGGTTGAGTCCTAAAGTCGAGAGTCATAATTTCCAACATTAGGCCTTATGGGCTACACCTTCTACTACTCAATTACTCATTTCGTAACCCATGGCAACCATTGTAACCAAGTAATCATTCTTAGGTGAGTAAATATTCGCAGACTGTGTCAGGAAAGAATACGGGGTTCTACTATGTCTCCAGTTCCTGACATGTGACCTGGGCCAGAAAGGAGCCCAATGTGCTGGATTGTCTGTGAGCCAAGTAGAAAAATAAACATTCATCTTCCTCTTGTCGTAACAGAATTTATGATAGAATCAAGCCTTGTAAGCAGTGCGGTTGTTCAATGGGAGGTGTTAAGGCACATGTATCCTCGTTCTTTAGTTGGAAAGGGCTTGACAAACTTCTATGATCTTAGAATTAGAGGGGATATCACTAAATAAAAAGAAGCTACCGAAGTTAGGTTAACTACGAGGCTCACTATAATTTGGGTAAGTAGCGTGGCCTTTTTGTTAGCCCCCAATAGGACTATTGTGATTAGGGCCCAAAGATACATCTCTGTGGCTCCCATTCTTAGTTTCATGTCTTCCTAAACATCGCTTAAATTTACGCTTTCTGTTTACTCTTGTAAAAGAAAAGTAAACGCCAGTTAATTTATTCGATGAATTTAATCCTAGCATAAAATATACCTCATGTTTTCTCTTTCCAACACCTGAATTTGTCAGCAAAGTCAATGTAAAGAGGAGTGAAAACTAACCTGGTATAGATGTCTCTGGAAATCTTAGTGGCCACAACCATATGTCTCCTTCTAATGTTTGCTTGGGATGCGGAAAATCTTTCTCCATCTCGTCCTCCTCATCATCCTCACTTTTATTCTCATATGCGCCGTTCTTTTTTCTTTTCTTGCTTGCCATTGAGTTAATAACGAAATTATCATTAGCTGCTTTGAGGTTTTTAATGATCATTTCATTACCCAGTAAAATGTTGTAGCATCTAAATGTATCAGTCTTTTTTAGAGGGTGTCCCTCATAGTCATCTATTTCTTGATGGTCAAGGTGGTCATCAGGATCGTATTGGTAGGTTTTTGTAATTTTTGCTTCAGTACAATGATGTAAGTTGACGCCCTTGCTGTAAAGAAATCCTTTTAATTTGCAATCTTCATCAACAACGGTAAAGATATCACTACGTAAACCTAGCCTAGAGCTGTTAGTCCCGAAAGAAAAAGTATGGAGAGCTCCTGGCGTGCATACCTTTATTAAAAACCTTGCACATCGCGAGTAGTGGGCTGATCCAAAATTGGTCGGAACCAAAAAGTCTCCTTGGCGCAGGTTTCCAATTCGATTTTCTAAAAGTCGCTTTTCTTCTGCAAAGTTGGTACGTAGCATCTATGATAAATTTTCTCGTGAACATAACCTGATCACCGCAGCGAATTCTATCCAGCTCATCTTCGGTCTCAGAGAAGTCGGAAATTGGGCCGGGCTGGCTTGCAGCTTTTGATACATGAGGGCACAGAGATACTGTTCGTTGACCAGCGATCAGTTTGGAAGGTTTAACAACGACAAGTCCGACAAGTTCGCATAAATGAGTTAGCACTAGCCGGTAATTACCAGTAGATCCTGTGTACGACGTTAACTAGTGCAAGTCGTACATTACTAAAAACAGATTTGTAGCAAAGATATCAAAGTATTACCAGGTTGAAATCTCTTTGTGCCCAAATACACAGGCCATGAAAAAAGCACCCTATCATTATATGCAGGGAATAAATAAGACTCTTCAAAGTAGGCTGGAAATGTATTGAATTCTGGTGAAAATTTTAATGCTGTGCAGGCATCTTTCACATGTGAATTTACATCTTTCCTTAAAATTATGAAGTTTTGGCAATTGTAATCAAATTCTTCGGCTTCTATTTCTCTTGTCTGTAACACTGGCGTAGATGCTAATACTGAGGTATGAATGAGTAGTGCGATTGAAGTTGATAGTAAAGCTGATGGATTCAACATTATTGACCGAGAAATTGCAGTTTCGCATGTCCAGTATTGACGATGAAAGGGTGATTGGGTTATGATTATCTTATGATACGGGGTAAATGTTGAAGCCTTAAATCTATAGACACTTGCGATACAAGGTTTGCACGAGAATCGAAATGAATGCCCATAGGAATCCGTCAAAAGAATCTTATCATGTAATAGGCATATTGCTATTCAAACCGTAGGCCAAGCGGACCCACATGTAATTTAGGATTTCCAATTTGGTGTGTGTCATGGCCGCCATGTGTCGCTTGAATATCTTCAGCCCCATTCAAGAATTAAAGTGGCAGGCGAATTTGATTAAGCTTGAATCTTGAACATAGAGCATTGGCATGAAATTAGTCTCTATATATTCGATGAAGGGGGTGTCAAGATCTTTCAAAAATGTATCCTCAATGCTGAAGTCACTCTATTTTCCAGACATTCGGTATTGATAAGCTGGCATGATATTTCTGTGGTATAAACGACTAATTCAATGCATTCTCCTTGAACAGAGCTTGACAGATATTCCTAGGACATTATAGCAATTCACGGCTTGTTCAGCCAATATGGAATCAGATTCAAAAGCTTTGAGACCATGTTCCTGCGTTAGGAGATAATCCGCAACGCGAAATCTTATTGGAGATTTTATTTTACCGCTACCTCGTATCCTTCATTGTCACCATGAAGCCTAACTTAGATTGCAAAGCTGATGGAAGGCCAAGGCTAACTCCATTCATTGTACATGATTCTTAAGGGTGACATGAGGCCACCCGAAACGTTAGATTTAGGTAGGCAAAAATGAAGGCCCATTCTCCTCTGCTTGATTCTAGTTTACGCATCAATCTTGTAGTTGAGGATAGGAGGATAAATGGAAATCGCCGGTACATGTTACAAGCTTAGACTGTAGAGGAATTACTACTGTCTATTTTTGCAGTGATCACGTAGGCCAGGACTGACTCCCTGTTGAATTCCCCGCTTGTAAGATTAGAGTCGGAAAATAATTGAGGCATTAAAATCGTACTTATGAATAAAGAGTCATGAACTAATTATTTACTGGATAACAGAAGTATGTGGGAACTATTCCAAATTATTGAGGAATGCAGTGACGTTGCTTCAATCTTGTGGTGGATTCAAGTATTTTTGATTTTTTTTACCCCGTTCAGGTACCCAATGTTAAGATCCCGTGAAATTGGTATTAGCGGCGCCATTACCGAGACAGGCAATATATGCTGTACAACGCCGGTGACTGCAAAAATGGCTTCAGTGAGGTTAGTTGTCGCTAGGCTGGTCGTGTAAGACTGGTCATTAAAATCATGTGTAACAGCTAGTGAACCTGTGCGTCTTGGATACCAACATCACTGGGCCCTTACTGTACATTTAAATCTATATACAAAGGTCTGTTGTAATCTGTGTGGTAAATCTTCTCTGTACATATATGTTACGGAGTGCGCTAATGATACTGAAAATCGCCGTCTGCCGAAGGTAATATTGTTGTCACTTATGATTATAAATACTTAGAAATACTTAAAAATGTTTGAACTGGCGAGGTACTGGTTAGTCACAGGCAGGAGGAACGACGGGTAATCCCAAGTGACAACTCAAGAATTTGAGTTGAATAGCAAGTTGAGTAGTCTGATAGGAGGGCAAGGCTGAACACTTGTACGCGGTGTCCTATACGAACCTGGGAGTGTAATTTTCTCCCAGACCCAAGTTCAGTCAAATTTCGCGATACCGAACAAGTTGGCCCACGAGGCAATGATTTAAGATACTCCACCACGTCAAATTTCCACTTCTAATGAGTTCGAATCCAATCCAAGCCTCATCAAGTCTACAAGTACGACCTAGTACATCCTAATCCCAATGACCACACCTCTCTTAGACCTTCTCTGGTCTCAGATGACCACCAAATACACGCCCACGCCGATATTTATACCCGACAGAGGAAGCAAAGCGTGGCGCACAAATCTGGGAGACAGTTCTTTGGGATGTACGTGAGAGGGATCAGGATAAGTTTACAAGATGATGCAAAGGGAGGATATTACCTCGAAGGGCGTGGGATTTCGTATTCTGGCAAGAGTTTTACGAATTGAGCTTTTTGCGCGCCAAGACTTCGCTTGCGAGGGTGCAGCTCACACTATAAACACAAGCCAACGATGTAAGGTGTTGTGGTCCGCCTCCTGGTGGTGTTATCTGGTATGGTTTGAGTAGCCTGGGCACCTACTCCACTTGGGAAGGAGACGCCTCAGACCACATTTCGCGCGGAGAAAATTTGAAAGATGGAGGCATGTCTGGATAACCCAGGGTTTTTGAGACGTTCCCCTGGGTGGGTATTCACGGACGAGGGTTGACTTGGGGTGAAGAAAAAGCCGCCATAACTTCGCAGTGGCATTTGCAAATGAAATCTGAGGCATGAGTGCTCCTCTCGTAAATTGAGTCATCTTTTCTATACTTTTCTTTGATATTGTGTCATAGCTAGATAACTGCATACGCAATTTAAATCTGATGCAAAAAAATCAATGGCGAAAACAGCGGTCAGAATAAGAATCGACGGCGGACAAAACTTGCAGCCACAAGAGCTGCTTTCAAAGGCACAACAACACATCCAAGGCGCATACGCGATTCGCTAAATGCGAAGCAACGACACTGAGGTGTTGGTCCAGTCGACGTCCCTGAGAGACGCGGCGCTGAAAATGCGCCGACCCAACGAATTTAAGATTCTACGGCAAGGTTTTCCCGTCGAAGTTTCTAGTGTCCCACTGCGGACAAGAATTGAAGGTGGCAGAGATGCCAACAATTACACCATCATCAGAGAGATTGAGATGGCGACGAAGGCACGAATTCCAGGCCTAGTTATAAGTAGAATAGGATGGCTTTATGACGGGAAGGAACATCAGAGATCTAAGAAAAACGGTCACAATCGCGGAACAATTGTGGTCAGCCTCCTGTTAGAGGCAATGCAAACGGAAGTAGTTCGAAAGGGGCTTGTAATTAATTCCATGCTCTTCACCGCGCAGGTGTGGTCACCACGGGCCCAGCCAAAGATATGTTATAACTGCAGTCAGTGGGGGCACACACAAGCGTCGTGTGGAAAGGCAGCTAGATTCGGTGAGTGCGCAGGCGCTCACCAAACTCGGGACTGTCCGAAGAAAGGGGTTTCTTGTGCGAGCTACGGCAAGGAGCACCGTTCGTGGCAAAAAGCAGCGTATCGGACCTACCAAGTCTACAAGGGAAGTGTGGAGAAGGCTCGCATGAAGCTGTTGTCAAGAACTGCGGAAATATGGAATGAAAAACCTATGATAGCGCCAACACGAACAGTCTGACCAACTGATGATCAGGGATTCACTTTGGTCACCCGCAAGAAGGCTGAAGGACTCAAAAGAGGGCCGGGACGACCATGTAAGGTAGTCGAAGCCCCAGTGGCACCAACAATCCCCGCCACAACAGCATCACCATCGAGGCCAACTCTTCGAACACTTCGACGACCAACGCCGAGCGAGGAGGTGCCTCCTTTACTTAATTTTTCATAACGTTAGTCTGAAGGAAGGGGGAGTTAATTGAGTTTCGAGGAAAGTTTATAAATTTGTGGTTGAAAGGAAGGTTCTCAGCACTAAGTCGGGTCGGTTTAGAGGGGCAGGACATCGGGATTTGTTTGTTGAAAGCTTTTTCCCTTACCAAAGCGGTTTACTGTCTTCATGGATCTGAATATAGAAGCCAAATAGGAAGTTAAACTGGAGAAATTCAATTTAATTCTATTGAATTTATGTTGAGATTATGGAGTACAGAGATAAGTCAGGTGATGGTTAATGGAAGTAACTGATGAAGGGTTTGGTTGTTGTGTTTTCTATTATTTCTGTGTTGGGATACACTTTGTCGATCCTACTAGGCTCGATAATCAGTAGACCCGACCGACTGGTGTTTGGCAAATGGAGATTGCGTATACCCTGTGCTAGCGTTGTTTACTGCTGTTAATAGGAGATCCCGCACGGGCTATCTATTGGGATTAAAAGGAGTCTGGTACTTGTGTTTAGTAGAGTAGTCGAATTGACATCCTTTTATCCTTCATTATTGCATAAGCTTCCCTTTACCAATAAAGTCCACGAACTAAGAAGTGGGTTATACATTTTAATATTCTACAGAACTAGCTATGGTAAAGCCACGAGTTATATTTGTCACCATACTGTTTCAATTGTGATCGATAGAAATCCACAAAAATATATATTTTTGTAGAGAAAATATCAATCAAAATATAAAAGACGCCACTCATCTTCACATCCAATTCACAACAAAATTGTGGAACTGGTAAAATTGGAACTCGAGTCCAAGTTAAAGAAAGCAATTGCCGAGTAGGTGGTATACCAAGAAGATGCTACAAGGCGCTCCTTAAAATTGAGCAGTGACTTGGAGAAACTCGCAGAAAGAACTGATAAAACAATTCAAGGGCTGACGGACAAAACCCAATTGAATTTCACTGAACTCTCGGAGAAGGCAGATAAAACTGACGAAGCGCTCTTGATCATCATAAGTCAACTCTCTTCTCTGGCTAACGCCAAGACTAACGAGAGTCAAGTGAACAACGGTCTTCGTCCAGTAAATACTCCAACTCAAGAAGTACTGCCGCTGGACAAGGGTAAACAGAGACGTTAAGCATCAACCTTAGCCAAGCAAGCTTCTTTTCTATCGTCAGCAGCGCCCAAAATGGAGCCCCCTTACTGAAAGCCTCATCTGAGTTACCACTTTGCACACCCTCTGAAATTCGCCGGAATAATTATCCATTGTCAACCCAAATTCAATTCTTCGACGCTCCACCAAATGGAATCAGCGACAAGTTTCTTGACGCTAGGACAATAAACCTTTACCAATCAGTAAATCCTCAAACCTCAGGTCTTAGCGATCAAGAATTGCGACTCAAAAGGTATTTCCAGACTTTTTCACACGCAAAGAAGCCAAGAGCCCCAGTGGCCCTTTGCGCGACGCGACCGAGAGAGATAAGG